CTACATAGAGACATGACGGTAAGTACCCATGAGGGGAGGACCACTAGTCTTTCATTTCAAGTAGACAGAAAGTGTCTTTCAAATAAGTAGTATCCAAAACTATATTGTAAGGACTGAAGTACTCATCAGATGAGTATACCTGGATGCCTCGTGGGCTGCTGATGGATTGTTTCCAGCATCATCTGTTAATCCAGATCCTCAGCGCCTATGCTACATCCCACACCACTGAAACTTAAGCTTGCTTGCCTTCCTCTCTCCCCAGCACTTTTAAATACTCATTATTGACAACAATTAGCTCAAAATTCACCCAGATAAAGCAGCGGGGAGGGACAAAACTTCCACCAAACTCCTCTTTTCCCTGCAAGGGGAGAGTGAATCCCAGGGGGTCAGGCAACAGCAGCACTGGGGAGCCCAGCCTGCCCCAAGGCAGTGAAACGTTGGTGCTGGGTGTCCATGCGGGTTCCCTCCATCGGAGGCTGAGTTTCTGGAGTCCTTCTTCCCAGCTTCTGGACAACTCCACCTGCAGCTCAGCTAGTTTTCGTTCATTTGTGGTTAAAAGCAGTGTACTCATATCCTCCTCCACAGCACTTCCAGCTCTTTCTGTCTCTCCTCCTACACACTTCAGTCCTGTTCTCAGCCTGCCTCCTCCTGAACAGCCTATACGCTAATGGGCTTCACTTAACATAAAACACGTAGAGAAGAGGAGACAACATCATATATAAAGTTTAATATCTCCAGTTATTCAATCATAATTCTTTTCATCCTTTCTCTTCCCTTCTATGGTTAGTGAATTCCCTTTCTGGAGAAATGAAAGTGGGAAATCAACAGCATAACGCTCCCTGTTATTTTACTTCCCTTTTAACACCAAAATCAGAGAAGTACGATCAGCTGTCCTCTCATTAAAAGCAACAAATGGCATTATGAAGGGGTCCTGTTCATTAACACAAGTGATTTATCTATGGCATCGATGGACCTAATTCCTTAAGCTCAGAACTCCTGCTTAAGTATGACCAATCACCTCAAAACACGTATGTGTGTGCATCTGTATGGGATATAAACGTATGAGTTACACGATTTCAGACGATTTCAGGCTGAAACCAGTAGTTATTATTGTGAAAATTAAGCCCTTTTTCTCCTCAGACTACAAGTAAGGCCACAGTCTGGACTAGGTTTGTGCTTCTATGTATGGTGTAGGATGCCTATCCTGCTTCAGAAGCTTTCTCTTAGAAATACAGAGATTCTTTGGAAACAGTAAAACATAATAGTCTTAAAGTCCTTTTTTCATGCATAGTCTCTGTTGTCCCTAGAGGTACCCTGAGATCCTGCTACTTAGAACATTTGTATCAAAAAATTATAGGAGCAGCCTGAAAAGAAGATGATCCAGATTCCTGGGAAAATAGAAAATATCCACATCAGTGGACTAAGTAAAGACTTCGAATTCTTGTAGTCCACTCAAAAGGAAGGGAACTGCATGGCAGCTTATTTAACTGAACATAGTTCTAGTCCTTTTTATGGTCATGTAACCATAAAAAGCCTCCTCTTCACTCTCAAAAATGATAAATGAGAAGTGCCACTTCTACAGTAAGATGACAATGGTCCTGACTCAGCAAAGCTGTTTAAAAACCTGAGCATTTAAAAAGTCTGTGTTTCAGCAGTATGGTACAGAAGCAAAGTCCAAAGGTAAAACTCATTAACCTATGCTACTCTGGGTCACTAGGGCAAAGAGGCAGACAAGCCACCGACTCTTTAGTCTCCCAGACAATTATCTGCTCACACTATTTCTCAAATCAAGTTCCTGCATATATTCAAATGAAGGAAATCAATTCAAACTCATGCTTTACGTGAAAGACCTCTGGCCTTTTAGAGCTGATACAAGTACATGTGACACTTGAAAACAACCAACACATCAGGTTTCTTTGTCAGCAGTCAGCATTACATCTGCTTTCAGAAGCAAAAGTCCATTTTCATGTGCTAACCTGGAGCCTAATGAGAGTACTAGCACTCCACCTAGAACGGTACCTGTGATGCCAGAAGGTCTTTCAAGAGGAAAGCTGTGTGTAAACAAGCAGGAAAGCAGTCTCTTTTTCTCACTTTGGATCTTCTGGCCACACCCAAACAGACATGTAACAACCTGAGGAAACAACCAGACCTTTCAGAGTTTCAAACTACTGGAGAGAGAGCAAATGAGCCAGAGGAGCAGTCCAGGAAACTTTCTTTGTCATAATGCTCAAGGCAGGGCAGGAGCACTCCACTCCCAAGTGCCCTTGAAGGTGCCGGGATTGACAGGCAACGAGCCATCACGGTCAACCTTTCTTCAGCCTCCTCTACAACTCAATTTTCAACCGTAGCCCCAAGCCAACACCAACACTTTGTAGCACACCACAGATACCGCCACAGCTGAACATACAACCTCATGCACAGTGCACGTGCACACGTGCGTAGGGTCTCACTAAGAAAAATAAATCCACAGAGTGCTGAGAACTAATTTCACATTCCCAAGCAGGTGCTTCTCTAAGCATCTTCTTGACATTATGGAAGATTTAGCCTTAACTGATAGATAAGCAGCTTAGGTGCATGTGACCAAGCACTGGAGGCATCTAATTTTTGTCAGTATTACGTCTACAGGGAGCCATGAAACTTAACTGATATATCCAGAGTAAACTCAGTCTTGACAAATTCAGATAAACTAACACATTCTCAGAGGACAAACAGGGATCATCAATACAAGCACAGCTGCTGTTTCAAGAAGCAAGGTTTCTCTTTTTACCAAGTGTCAAAAACTTGAGCAAAAACTAAGCTGATTCATCTTTGCTCTCAGTGGTTCAAACTTGGATCCCATTACCCTGAGGAGCCCTCAAAGAGCTAAATCTGCAGATGAAGGCTGAGAGCCCCTGCGCTGCAGCCTTACCCCACAACCATCAGGCTGCTTTCTGCTTTCGAAAGGCAGTGTAGAAATCACTCAGGTGCTTGCTCTTCCATGTTGTACACAAGTGTGCCAGCCACTGACCAAAGCCAAAGAAATTCGACTTTCTCCTGCCACAGTTCATCCCTAGTTTTCAAAAGGGAAGGTTTACACACTTAACCTGCAAGACTGTGAATCTCAAGTGCAACTCCCTTCAGCACAGAGTGAAGTGCTCAGAACATGCTCCTCTCCGGGACTATGCTTATACCTACCAACACAGCACTTTTTACAAGCTACTTTAAGAAGCTCCCTCCTCAGCAAGCTGGTCTTCAAAGATATTATTCCAAATGCCTTCTCCTTGTCTAACACAGTACCCACACCCTGGCACACAGCGCAGGGGGAGCTGTGTAGGAAGCCCCCCTACAAGTCAGTTACTTTCAAACAAAACACTGCAGGGCCCCAGCTCATTTCAGCCCTGGGAATCCAAGGAGCCCACAGAAACTCTAAGGAATAGGGACTGTATGAGATCATTAGAGGAAGCAATTACAACCCCATGGACAGCAGATTGCAAATATCAACAAAACCTAGCAGCAGCATGTTTTGATTCTTAACAATGTTGACAGCATAAATATAGACCATATTCCCTGTGGCACAGAAGGACCCTCAGAAGCTTCCTGCTTGTGCAATACCTGTGAAACTCACCCTCAGGCCGCACAACAGAAGAGAACGGCTGTGTAAAACATGGGGGTGTGGTGTGCAAGTACAGACAAAAAGTAAGCAACTCTTATTTTCAAAACAGCAGAAAGTGGATGTTAAAGGGAAGGATGTTAAAGGCCAGGTTACAGACAGAGCACCTGGAACTTCAAAGCCAATCACCTAGTTTGAACTTAATCCTCATATTCTTATGATGACATCATGTGGTGACCAACATTACTTATTTGTCATTTAAAACGCAGTAAGGACAGCCTTTGTTCTCTGGAATTCGATGTGCCTGAAAAGATTCGGGTTAAAAAGCTCAGTCTGGTGAGTACCACCATTTCTATAACACTGGCAAAACCACTACAGACTACACTAGAACAGAATTTGGACAGATGGCTTTATTTTGTTGGATGAGAAAAGTGAAGAAGCAGTTAAACATCCTACTTTGAGCAGGGTCTAAATATGCCTGTTCCACTGTGTGCCCTCCAGGCTGAAGGACAGCATTTATTTGAGTTAGCAGCTGTGCTACCAGAATGGGTAACAAAAGTTCATGCTTTGAAGTGCTAAGAAGCCTCCTGCTTCAGAATTAAGTCTGATTCCATGGCAACAAACAGAGGTCCACAAAACCTTCAGCACCTCAAACATGAGTGATGACTGGAGTTCTGCTGCACAGTACTCTAACCTAAGAATAAATATCAATGAAGGCTTCAGCCAGTTTAGTAAAGAAACTGCTTCTCTTAAGCTTTGCAAATAAGGCGGCCTTTCAAAGAATGATGTTTGCCAATTCTCCAAGTATTTTATCAGTCCATTCATATCAGCCTATTCATCCCACGCAAAAAGAAAAAAGATTACATGAGGAAAAAGAGATTAGCTGAAACAATCACATGTTCAAAACAGGTTAAAACCAACTCTGCTTGATCTCTAAAATTTATTTCTAGGACCCTTTCTTCAAAACATATCATACCTCAGACATTATATCCTAAAAACAAGAGACGTTATGAAGGCCTTAAATAAATAAAAACCAAAAACCACTAACAACCAACCCAAATCCCAAGAAGTAGACTAGTCCTTTTTTGCATTCACCACTTTACTGGGTGTCTTCATTTAGAGGAAAAATACCTTGTTCAGAACTCCTTTTGCTGTAATGTAGAAGGAATCTTTTAAGAAGATTTAAGATGCTTCCATATATCATGAAGATAATACAGATTAGGATTCAGAGCCTCAGTCCCTAGCAACATTAGCCGACTTGCTTGGAAGAGAAAAAATATGTTGTTAATACCAATTTAAATTAAAATAGCAAGCTATTACCTCTTTCAAAGTAAAATATCCCACAAGACCTTATTTATGTTCTTGCTTATTTGAATTTTTACAGTGAGATTATGTTTGATGTAAACATTACCTGGCAAAGAAGTTCGCAAAAGGTCCCAATATTTTTCGTTTACTGTCCACGTCTGTCTCTTCACAACACTCCTGCTGGCTCTGATCACTGGTCTCTTTAGTGGAATTCAGGGTGACATCCGAGAAGTGTGCCTCATCAGTCTCAAGATTCACAATTGCACTTGAACTGCTTGTGACCACAAAGTCCAAAATGTCTTCATTGCTAACTGATAAAGTTGTTGACAGTTCTGTGCTAAGACTAGAAACACTACACACCGAAATGTCATCACTTCGATTCAGAGTTTTTGAAGGTGGACTATAAAGTTTGACAGTGTCATACCCAGTTCTGGGGAAAGTAGAGGATTTTCGCACAGCATGGTCATGTTCAGAAGTCAGAGAATGTGGAGGCACGTAAGACGGCAGCGTGCACGCGCTCTGAAAAGCCCTGTCAGGCACAATTTCAGGTTCTGACTGCTTTCTCTTCACATTTAACACACTGCAGTGAACAGGCTCTGGATTTCCTATTTCCAGAGTTGGAATACCAGAATCCACTGATTTAAGGCTATGACAATCTTCTAAAGCACTGGACAGCTGGCCAGGCCCATACTCGGGCAGTGAGAGAGATCTCGGGGTCGCGGAGTTGAGGTTCGGAAGGCCCTGGATACTGCTGCCCACTCGTGCATCCAGAATTCCCATGAAGCTCAAACCATTTAAGGAGTTGGATAAATTTACATCCGTTGTCTTGGCCCAACTGGTAACTAGTTAAAAAAGAAAGGACAAGATTATGAGTTTGCAGAAAGGTTGTGGTTTGTTCTTGGCTGTTTTGGGGTTTTGTTTGTTTTTTTGGTTTGTTTTTTTTTTAAATACACTCAGTCCTGTCATAATTTAGGCTTTTAATTAAAGTTATTAATGTTCTTTTGCACATGATTACTATCCCTTCCCCCGCTTGAACAAGCAGGACAATGGCAACTTAAATTCGGCTTCTAGAAAATGTCAAGCATGAAAAGCTTTTCATAAGCAGTTTGTGTGCCAGTGTTTACTTCATCTACATCTCCTGAGAATTAAATTATATACTATAAAAACTGCAGTACTTTAATGTTCCATGTCATTATTAAGACAAATATTTGAAGTTTATTTTTATATAGTCATAAACACATATTTACTGATGTTGGGGGGTTGCAAAACTTGTTTCCATACACTTAGATCAAAATTCTGAAGTGTTCATTTAAATAGAATTTCTTCACATTCTTCTGGAAACCATAAAACTGAAATAAATTTGTCACTGGAATAGAATGCATAATATATCAGTTCTGCATTAAGTAAGAGATGCAAAATCTGAATAGCTATAAAGCTATCAATGTAGTCAATGTTTTGACATTGCACATGATGCACTTCATCAGTGTACTGACAGTAAAACTGACATTTGCAAATATTACTGCACTCAGAGATTGCTGTCCTTCATATTTGCAACATACATTCACCTGCCCCCCCAGCAGCTGCCAGCAGGGCAGTTAATCCCGTCAGTGCCCCACTTCCACTCTAAATCTGCCCTCAAAGAGAGCACAGTCAAGTACGAGCTGCAGGTCAGAGGCACTGTCCTCGCGGGCAACTGCAGCCTTTGGTAAACCTGGACCACCACCAGGACTGCTGCCCTGGCTCCCAGAACTGCTACTGACCCTTCAAACACTGCGTGATTATTACTGTGACATCTGTGTACATCTTATTACTGTGTACATCTTCTCTTTCTATATGAATAGTTAAAATTATCTACAGCTCTGCTGAAGTTTGCAATGTAATTCCTCTGCAGCAGTTGGCAGAACGAATGTGCACATATTGCTTCAGTTTCTTCACTATGAAATGCTCTGCACTAAGTGTGAAGGAGTGAAGAATACCCCTCCCATCTTCCAAACAGCCTGCTTTCTAGACAGATTGTTATGCAGTTCCTGAAGCCTGGTCCCCTGTTTCTGGTTGCCTATTCTCTCCCAAGTGTAGCACTTAATGAAAGGTGCCAGTTGTTCTTTAGGAGGTCCTCTCTGCTTTCTACTCCAAAAAAATGAACAAGCAAACACATACACACCCCCAATCCTCAAAACAAAACCAAACCCAAACATCTTATTTGGGAAAAACGGTTCCAAACCACTTGTTAAAGGCACCTAAAACCTGCCAAACGCCGGGGTCTGACGCACTGTCTGTTCTTAGATCTAAGCCCATCAATACACTTTGGGTTTGTAATACTGACAGGCAGTAAGTGGCAGAAAACACATTTCAAACATATTCCACTGGTCCAACCCGTAACGATTTTTTCTACAGTCTTCTGGTCACACTAAAAGTTCATTAATCTAAACCTACTATGTATGCTATACCAACTCTTCACCTTACTACACAAATGCTATTCACTGGCTA